TCCAAATCAAGAGCTTTGTTTTTGGATGCAAGATGCCTATTTTGTCTAACATGACTCAAACACAGCAGCCTGTGCAACTTCTGCGACAGTAAATATGGAATTTTAAATTAGAGGCTCATCTTTTCAGTCCTCTGCATGTGATCTGACTCACAAAGCTCATGGTGACACTCCATTGAGCCCAGGAGACTGGCCAACACACTGTCGCCATCCAAGCCTATGTTGAAAGATTAGAAAAGTGGAGAAAAGGAGCTGATGAGGCAATACTCTCTAATGAGCTTCAATGTGGAATCTTTACTATGGATTTCTCAGCAATCAGCAGCCAGTCGGAGCTGTCCTGAGTGTTGATGCCGGTGTGAAATATGGTAGGACTGACTGGATGGCATAAATTGTTGTCATTATGTAGCTGTTAAAAGGAGCTCTCTCTTTGGCGACTCTTTTGGACTGTGAAAACCTTAATCTGTTGCTAATCCTCTGCTAAGAGCCAGAGGATCTCTCTAGTGCTGCTTAGCAGGTACCAGTGCCTGATAAAACTATTCTGTTTGCTTAACCATGTTTAACTTCACCCTCAACCAACACTCAAGGATTAAAGCCTTAACCGCAATATTAACCCAAGCTAAAATGCATCAGGCTGGAGGCAAAGTGCTGATGGAAAGTGCTAGGATAAGGCAACATCATTAGGACTGCTAACCAGAGACAGCCACCGGGTCTCATTATGGGCCTAATGGAAAAGCAACAGGTTACATCAGGTCAAATGAGGCAGGCAGAGAAATAAAATGATCAAAAAGGAAAGAATTACTCAAAAACATCCTCAAAGCTGCATTCATTAAGTCAAAACTCTGTGTGTACATATATACACACACACACACACACACTCTCGAGGCTCTGTAATATTTATTGCTCGGTAGAAGCTTAATATGAAAGCAAATGAAACATGGGTGTTTTTGTCAAAGCAAAACAAAACAGAGGTCTGATGTTCTCTTGCATCACTGGAAACAGGATGCTGGCGTAGACATGGAGGAAAGTTTATCAAAAAGGTTTTAAAAATTCAAAAGCATTTTGTGTGTTAAGTTGCAGTTGGAGAAAAGTAATTAGGCAAGAGTCATTATGGTGAGTAACTTTTAAGAAGAAGGAGGGTTTGTTTTTTGGTTTTTTTATGTGGCTCAACACCCCACAGCTGTAAAACTGCTGGGCACGAGACACATTACTTATTAGTGTGTATTTCGGTAACAAATTGTCATGAATCGCTGTGCGGCAGGCAGGAGTTGGACCCAAAGTGCAGGACTCAAACTCAGGGAGGTGAACTCAAAACTCAGCTTTATTTGCTGGCAGGGAAAAAACATACAAACTAATCTAAACTGGGAACTTGGAAAACTCACAGAGAGACACACAGGGAGATCCACACAGCATGAGGGACGACGCGACACTGACTCAGAGAAACACAGGGTTTAAATACACTGGGAAGTAACGAGGGGAATGAGACACAGGAGGGCACAGCTGGGAGAAATCAGGACTGACGAGACAAGCAAAGCAGGACGCATTCACATGAGACACGGACCATCAAAGTAAAACAGGAAGTATCACACAGAGACGCGAACTTGACACAGTGGAGACAGCAACTAAGAAATACAGAGACAAACCATAAGGCAGAGGTCTAAGAACCAAAATACACAGGGAAATACTCAGCTGGGAACACAAGAGACTAGACTAGAGAGAGTAACAAAAAACCAACCATGAGAACATAATGCACAATGCAGAGTGACAGAAAACAAGAAACTCAAACATGCAAAGACACACAATTACACAGAACAGAGGGGACACAGAGAGACATGAAGGGCAAGGGATCAAAACTAGAAGCCATAGAATAAATCACACACAAGTACAATAATACAAAAATCACAAAGAACTAAAAACGCTGGGTCAGGAGACCCAGGACCGTGACAGTACCCCCCCTCAAGGGCTGGCTCCAGACAGCCCAAACACAGAAAAACAAAACCAAACAGAAAACAACCCAGGGCGGGCGGCGGGGGCCCAGGACGGAGGGCTCGGAACAGAAAACAAAAGAAGAGCACAGCAAACACCGGAGCCCAAGAAAACAACCCAAACAGAGCAGTTCAGGGGGCCGACCATGCGGAAGGCAACGGCGGAGACGTGGAACCAGTTCAGGGGGCCGACCGTGCGGAAGGCAACGGCGGCGACGCGGAAACAGTTCAGGAGGCCGGCCGTGCGCAAGGCAACGGCGGCGGCGAAGGAGACAACGGAGCAGTTCAGGGGGCCGACCGCGCGGAAGGCAGCGGCGGCCCTCCAGTCTCAGGCGTGCTGGCCATGGCCTGGTGGGCACAGGACCAGACAAGGACGAAGACTCGGAGGCTGGACCAGGCGGAGCTGCAGAGGCTGAACGGGCTCCTCGGGCCCTCCAGCTGACGTGGCAGGAGGCTGAACGGGCTCCTCGGGCCCTCCAGCTGACGTGGCAGGAGGCTGAACGGGCTCCTCGGGCCCTCCAGCTGACGTGGCAGGAGGCTGAACGGGCTCCTCGGGCCCTCCAGCGGAGACAGGTGGCTGAACGGGCTCCTCGGGCCCTCCAGCGGAGACGAGGTGCTGGCTGGGCTCACTGGAACCCCCAGCGGACGAGGTAGATGGCGGCACGGGAGCCGCGGAGTGCTGGATGAGCTCATCCGAGCTTCCAGCAGGAGCCGATGTAGAGCCAGAGAGAATTGGGACCCCGGGCTCAACGTTAAGCTGGCTAGAAAACTGCACTGCTACGGGGAACTGGGCCAAAGGTTCAGGTGCGACCTGAGCTGCTGGACACACGGGGACCTGAGCTGCTAACGGTGGAGAAGTAAATGACTTCACAGGGAAATGAACTAGAGGTAGTGACGGTTGTGGTGCTGGTGGTTGAGTGGGTGACTGTGCTAAAGGAGGCTGCACTGGGGACACTGGAGGCTGCACTGGGGACACTGGAGGCTGCACTGGGGACACTGGAGGCTGCACTGGGGCTGCTGGAGGCTGCACTGGGGACACTGGAGGCTGCACTGGGGACACTGGAGGCTGCACTGGGGACACTGGAGGCTGCACTGGGGACACTGGAGGCTGCACTGGGGACACTGGAGGCTGCACTGGGGACACTGGAGGCTGCACTGGGGACACTGGAGGCTGCACTGGGGACACTGGAGGCTGCACTGGGGACACTGGAGGCTGCACTGGGGACACTGGAGGCTGCACTGGGGACACTGGAGGCTGCACTGGGGACACTGGAGGCTGCACTGGGGACACTGGAGGCTGCACTGGGGACACTGGAGGCTGCACTGGGGACACTGGAGGCTGCACTGGGGACACTGGAGGCTGCACTGGGGACACTGGAGGCTGCACTGGGGACACTGGAGGCTGCACTGGGGACACTGGAGGCTGCACTGGGGACACTGGAGGCTGCACTGGGGACACTGGAGGCTGCACTGGGGACACTGGAGGCTGCACTGGGGACACTGGAGGCTGCAGGAGACTGCGCTAGAGACTGCAGTGATGGTTGTAGTGGAGGTGTGACGGGTGGAGGAGTGGCTGAAGTGGCTGCGGGTCGGGCGGCTAGTGGCTCAGCTACAGGGCATATTAACGGCAGGGCTATGGGTTGAATGTCTGACTGAGTAGCAGCCTGAATGGCTGGGTGTAGTGATGGTGGTGGTGGAAGGGAAACAGGTGGTAGTGTGGATGACGGAACTAAGGGCGACTGAGTGGCAGACCGAACTGATGACTGAAGCGATGGTAGAGGTGAAAATGGAGCATGTGGTGGAGTTAATGGCTGTGCTAGCGGGGACACAGGAGACGCAGCTTGTAGCTGGGCAGCTAAGAGAGCTTCAGGAGGCTGGGCAGCTGATAAACTGTTCACATTACCGTCCGTAGCACAAAACACAGCCCCTGAACGAATAGTCCCACGGTTCGACACAAAAAAAAAAAAAAAAAAAAAAAAAAAAAAAAGAGTCCTTACTCACCACAGCCGGCGATGTACAAGTCTGAATGTCCGGCTGTGGGGTGGCGCGCTGGCGGCGTGGTCGTCGTTTCTTTTTTGATGATGGCTCTGACGGGCCGAGCGGCTCCACATCCGGCCCTTCAGGCAGGTGGGTAGTAGCAGCTGGGGGATGAAGGTGGAGCTCGTTGTGGATTAAATCCTGTTCGAGTGGGTGGAGCACACTGAGTAGCCAGGGAAGACCAGAGATTAAACGCTGTAGTTTGGTTTCCACAGCACGGCGAAATTCCTTCCCCTCATGTTCGAGCCACAGATGCAGGAGTCTTTCCACGGAGTAGATAATGTCCAGACGCAGTTCTTCTGGTGGGTTGAGTGCTGCTGGGTCCATATCTGGTCGCGTCGTACTGTCATGAATCGCTGTGCGGCAGGCAGGAGTTGGACCCAAAGTGCAGGACTCACAGACTCAGGGAGGTGAACTCAAAACTCAGCTTTATTTGCTGGCAGGGAAAAAACATACAAACTAATCTAAACTGGGAACTTGGAAAACTCACAGAGAGACACACAGGGAGATCCACACAGCATGAGGGACGACGCGACACTGACTCAGAGAAACACAGGGTTTAAATACACTGGGAAGTAACGAGGGGAATGAGACACAGAAGGAGGGCACAGCTGGGAGAAATCAGGACTGACGAGACAAGCAAAGCAGGACGCATTCACATGAGACATGGACCATCAAAGTAAAACAGGAAGTATCACACAGAGACGCGAACTTGACACAGTGGAGACAGCAACTAAGAAATACAGAGACATAAACCATAAGGCAGAGGTCTAAGAACCAAAATACACAGGGAAATACTCAGCTGGGAACACAAGAGACTAGACTAGAGAGAGTAACAAAAAACCAACCATGAGAACATAATGCACAATGCAGAGTGACAGAAAACAAGAAACTCAAACATGCAAAGACACACAATTACACAGAACAGAGGGGACACAGAGAGACATGAAGGGCAAGGGATCAAAACTAGAAGCCATAGAATAAATCACACACAAGTACAATAATACAAAAATCACAAAGAACTAAAAACGCTGGGTCAGGAGACCCAGGACCGTGACACAAATAGTGTAAGTGTCGACAATTTGAAACTCAGACATCATATAATTATGAGTTCCAGAAAGCCTCTTTCACACCAGCAGTCTTAAGGGTCGGTGTATTTAATGTTCTTAATTTAATTTAACATCAGATTTATTCCGTTGGGGGTCAGGAAACAGGTTTGGTTTGGATTCCTCCTGGGTGTTTCGCTTTTGGAGGTTTTCAAAGTATGCCCAACTGGGAACAGTTCCTCGGGTAGTTGACTGGGGAGAAGGTGATCAGGAATACCCTACTTATCCTGCTGCCACTGTCACACAACTTTAGATCAGCAGAAGCGATGGATTTCAGAGTGTGAAATGTTTTATTGCAGTTTCTCTGAGTGTTGCACAGTCTGATCTACTCACACTCCAATAGAAGCACTAATGGTGTTTTCATGCTCGCCGTGCTCCCCCCCTGTAATGTGTGACGCACGCCTAGTTTGACGCCACATCCTGTGGCGCATACCAATGTATTTGTAACGCTTTGGCCAACTGTTCACTTCTTCGTAACCCCGCCGCTGCCACAGCTGAATTGAAGACACGGGTGTACCATCGTGCCAGTTTTTGCCACCATCTTAATGATATTCCAGTACAGAAGCTGAGAAATGTACACATATTTTTGACTTCATGTCCTCCAATATCAGCACCTATGATTCCTGCGCCTTAATGCATAAATAGAAGTAGCTGTGTGATAATGCAGTGGCGTTCAAAAGCAACCAATTTGAGGGTATACTGGTGCTTTAAGGGTGTACTTATTCTTTTACACACTGCTTCTGTAGTTTGGCCTAATTTTTATTAAATACATAATGACGCAGTGTGATATGTTATGTTTTATTGTTCATCTGAGCTGCATGTACATCACTTTAAGACCTCCCAAGGACCAGATTATATTTTATCATATCCTCATACATTAAACCCTAGAACTGCACAGTGTGTACTTGCGTTTTTTTAGTGCCTGTGAATAAATTGTTGTCTTTAAATGTTTTTAAAACTAAACTCAAAGGCCTACAGGCTGCCTCAATAATGTGTAATTGTTTTGTGTAATTTTAACTTTGTTTGTTCGTATGTATTTGTCTTGAAATGTGCTGCCTCTTGGCCAGGACTCCCTTGAAAAAGAGGTCTTTGATCTCAACGGGACATTCCTGGTTAAATAAAGGTTAAATAAAAATAAAAAAAATAAATCAGGAGCTAGAAACTGACAAAGTAGCATACTATGGCATACAAAGTAGAAGCAGGCACTCTTTAGAGTTCAAATGTACACTTTAAAGCCAAGTTTAAGATTTAAGTTGTTTTTTTGTATAAATGTTAAATGCAGCATGTTACAAAAGAGCTGCAGAGGTGGTGGCAGGCTGGTTTTCAAAACAAGCCGTTTCCCAATTGCTAGGCTAAGCTAAGCTAACCACCAAGCTCCATACTGCGGGAGAGTCTCCTTCTCATGTCAGAGTGAAAGCAAGTACGCACATTTTCCAGAATGATATTACTGCTTGTTAAATGGTTGAATACTACGATGTTCAGAATTAATACACAAAGTAAATGTAAAATAAATTCTTTCCCCTTATTTTTATGGAAATCATTTAGCCCATAATGGGACTACACTCACACACACCTGGTAATTCATTAGTGCAGCTGGATGAGCATTTTATGTGGAGCAGATAGAGGAACAAATGGTACTGTGCATTGCTTCATGTAGTCATTATTGTCATTATTATTCCACATTCTGGCTGCCTGTAATTACCCACTTTCCTTCCTGGTACACCGCTTTCTCTTTCTGATCCCCCCTCGTTCCAAAAGTGCGGGCTGGAAGATAATGTAATCACAAAAAGAACGAAATTGCAACGCTTCTGAATCAGAGGCAGAAAGGAGTACTGTAGAAGGGCTTTGAAGTCAGACAGTTAATATTGATGAGGTGAGGCGTTTTAGATGATTAGCACCAGAGATTTCACTTCTGTCTTTTATTTTTGCATCATTAAGGTCAAACGCCTAAAATTTCAAACTTTGCTTACATTTTCCAGTTGCTTGATCAGCAGACATGGTACAGGGAGAAGGGCAGAAAGCTCCAATTAATATTGTTTGACTGAGTGAAAAGAAAATGAGTCCAAATATTTTTTCTATTCCAAAAGAAAAAAAAAACCTTGTGTGGGAAAAACATACGTATGACTCACAATCTGGACGTGAATGTTTTTTATGCTGGGTAAACACATCAAATGTAGTGCATGTCTGCTAGACAAGCTCAGCTGGAGAACTATACTTTAGCAGTTCACTTCTGTTGACATGCAAAAGCTACATTAGAGGTTTTTTGCTGACACTCTTCACAAAGTCAGAATCAAAGCGATGTAAATATAAAGCGCTAGCAGCATGTCCTCGCCATTGTTTTAAAGTCCTTGTCAGGTTTGCTCCTTATGATGCCACAGCAAAGCTCTCTATGCATTGTACTTCTTTAGCAAGTCCCTTTGCCAGTGCCTCTTGCGATCTGGAAAAACTTTGGGCATGCGGATCTTTTTAAAGTCCTCGATGCATTTCTTCAGATCCTCCTCCAGCATTTTCCTCTCATCCTCATCCTCATCCAGCCCAGGCGGGGGGCAGCCGTTCTCCCTGACGCTGGGACGTGGAAGTGTCTTTAGTTTGAGCGTGGTAGGACGCTGGGGGCTGTCAGCGGGAGGCGGCGATGGAGGAGAAGGAGGACTGGATGATGAAGAAGGTTTGGATGAAGGCAGAGGAAGGGGGAAGACCGGGGGTGATGGCAGTGGAAGGTCAGGGATGTCTGGCGCAGGAGGAGGAGGTGGGGGAGGTGTTAGGGGAGGAGGAAGCGGGTTTCGGAGGTCCAGTGTTGGGATGGTGCTGGTTTCAGGAAGGCTTTGGGTTCGGCCACTGCTGCTGGTTTCTGCTGTGGCTGACAGTGTAGGTGCGGCAGTGGGTTTAGAGGTCACTGCTTCAGTGGTAGTCGCTGCTGGGGGGTCAGAGGTCATTGCCTTGGAAATATCTGATGAACTCCCTGCAGAAAAAATAAAAAAATATATATTTATGAGCTAAATTTATGCTGATTTCAAATCTTTTCGTGCTTATAGTGAAATAAAAATATTGCTACTGTGTCTATACAATAGGCTACATATGTTCAGTAAATACACAGACAAATCCAGCTGATTAGCTTAGCTTAAAATCAATAGGGAGGGCATTCCAGAATACTAGTTCTTGCCTGAAAGACAGGAGGGCATAACGACCACCCACAGTCCTGTAGTCATGGTGAGTTTGCCAGGAAAGTAATGTACACTATATATAAGTACTGGATTTGACTTGAACACAGATTAACTAGGGAGCTTTAAAGGTGCCTGTAGGCGTAACAATCTTTGGACTCAGTCAGGCTTTTCTGTTTTCCTCTTTCTAGTCTGTATGCTAAAATAAGCTAGGCTAATCACTCTCTGCATCCAGCAATGCATTCGATTTACAGGCTTCAGAGTTGTACTGCTTTTCTCATTTACCATTCACCGACAAGTGTTCCCATAAAAATGAAACGTATACGAATAACAAGCATTTACATTCAGATGTCTGCTCTGTTTGCATATAGGTCTCAGCCACCTGGGAAGCTTTCCACAAAAATTTGATTACATTTCACCTGTCTTTCTTTCTTTCTTTTTTTTACTCCCTCTTCTTTATCAGAGTGTGTCAGTAGTGTGCGGCTGGCACAGAAACAAACACCTGAGTCTTCAGCGTTACAGTTTTTTGTCTCCAAGAGTACAAAAGTAAACACACGCTGGCACAAGAGCATGTAGGAGCATTATGGAGGCAGTAATTAGCAGAGAATGGAGCTCAGCGTGAGAGATGAGGAGAGTGGAGGGCGGTTTCACTGCTTTTTTCAGTTTTAAATTACCTTTGGTTGCATGACTGTTTATCTGTGAAGATAAATACTGGCGCTGAACGGATGGCGTGAAACCTCCTGACCAAAAGCTTAAGAAGCTTTTTTTTTCACAGCGTGATGATTTTTCATCTCATCTCTGTGTGAGAACTGAGGATGCTGCTGCTATGGCACTTCTTGGAAAAACTAGAGTGTGTGTACATTGTGTACCTCACGGTCTTTGAAAACCAATGTACCATTTTCAAATGCAGCTTCTATTTCTCTCCCTCTCTTTATTTATTTATTTTTAATGAAACCACTGAGCAAGCAATCAGCCTCTTCCTGTCCTTTTATTTCTGCTGCATGCATGATGGCACACACGCTCTGATTTGCTTGTGAAATTACAGAAAGCACCTGCATCTACCTTAAAGTGAATGCGCTTAAAAATGTGTCTTCACTTTTATACTAATCTCACATTTTGACCACAGGTAATGTTAAATCTCACTATATTGTATATTTGTTATGTATTCTCAAACTGTTTTGTCATGTGATCCACTTTGTTGAATATTATGTTCTTTCTTAGGCTGGACGTTAAACAGTATGAAGCATTTGAATGAGCAAAACATTTATCCCGTCATTCACATTACATGGGAGCAAGCTAAACACTGTGCTACAATACTACTCAGCAGGAAATGTTTTTCTTCTGCAGCAAGAGGTCTTTAAAATTTTTGAACAGGTATTAGGAGTTCAGAACACGATGATCCAGGCAAACACAAACACAAATGTCGATATAGGGTTCTGACATGCCGTAATGTGCACACAGCTCAAGAGTTTTCAACCAGATTGGATTTGATACAACCACCAGTCACGAGAGGAAAAATGTCTTTTCCATGAAGGGTAGCTGGAGGTTGCTGGCTCTCACAGGGTGAAAATGGTCCCAAGGAGGATGTTGCACCAAAACCTTCCTTTTGGTTGCTTGGAAATGGAGACCATTCATTTGCAAGTCTCAAATTGGTTGCCTCAGCACTGCAACCATTTTATTTTGAAGGAAAAAAGGCAAACGTGTCCTTTTCTGGTTTCTGCCTCACTTTGCACAGTTTAATTACCACTCGCAGAGTAGCTGGTGAGTGTTTGTAGGAAAGTTTGCATGGAAACTATGGTCAACCATAGCAATCATTAGTGATTAAAGCATCTACAAAGTAGTTTTTACCAACTGCTTAGAAATGCACATCTTTCTGTTTTGATGGTGGTTGCCAGGAGGTCAACTACCAGCCTCCATGTCTGTTTGACTGGGGTTTTAGTGACTCCCATGAACCTCCAGCAACCACTTGCCAACCTGTCGAGGAATACACATTTTCTTCTCATAAACAGTGCTGGGTGGTCATGGACAGATGGTCTCTAGGGCTTTGTGATTAGGACCTTAGTCACTAAACCCACTTGTCACCTTGACTGCCTTCTTCATCTTTGATGCTCTCTTTAGATGGATGAGATAATCTGTCAAAGCCAATTATCTGCCTCCATCTGACCCTATGTTTATCATCCTCCTCTGTCATACCAATCCTCTGCATGTCCACCTTCACAACATCCATGAACTTCCACTGAGGTCTTTTTCTTTTCCTCCTCCCTGGAAGCGCCACCATCAACACTCAACAACTTTGTCCAATACATTCTCTATCACTTCTCTGCACATGTCCAAACCATCTCAGCCTTGCCTCTCAAACTTTGTCTCCAAACTGCTTCAAGCAGTCCCTCTGATGTACTCATTGCTAATTTAGTTCATCCTGATCACTCCCAATGAATATCTTAGCATCTTCAATTCTGCCACCTCCAGCTCCACCTCCTGTTTTTTTTGTCTGTCCCACCATCTCCAAATCATACATCACAGCAGGTCTCACTACCACCTTGTAAACCTTCTCTTTCACTCTTGCTGCTATCCTTGTGTCACAAATCACCCCAACACTAGTCTCAAAGATGCCCTTCTTCTTCTTTTTCTTCTTCTTCACCTCTCTAGCACACTGTCTGTGGCTTTGGGTCATTGACCCAAGGCATTTAAATTCTTCCACCTTCACTAGCTCTGCTCCTTGCATACTCATATTTCCATGTGTCTCCCTCTCATTCACACACGTGTATTTTCTCTTGCTTTCATCGACTTTCATTCCTCTTCTCTCTTGTGTGTACCTCGCTCCAGTGCATACCATAATTGTCACATGTCCAAAATGACATACAAGTTAACGTCACATGGTTAGCCATCACATGACTTCAAGATCTCAGTGTGTGTGTTGATGCAACATGGATCATATTAAATAAGAAAAAAAAGCATACTTGGACTGTTACCTTGGGGGTCTGACTTTTGCTATTTCCCATTCAAGAAAAGTCTACCAGTAACTGATGCAGAAAAAATGCAAAGGGGTGAAAAAATCCATCAGAATGCAAGAAACGAAGTGTGTGGAGCTCAAAATTTCCTGGGGGAAGACCCTGAGATCCCACAACTAATGTGTCTCCTTCCATTTACCAATGAAACCTACTCCTGTGATCACTCACGTTTCCACTGGCTGTGAAGCATGCAGGTACAGTGCATGAAAATGCAAATGAACAGTTAAGCACTCTCAAACATGTTCAGTGCAACAAGCACACACATGCTCACACACACACACATATACACACACAGACATGCTCACAGACATACCATGACACACAACGGCCTGCACTGTTTCCTTTAGCAGAGCTTATCATTACGCTAACCAGCCTTACATAACGGCAAAAGCTGCTTGTGTCAAACGGAGGCGGCACGGCATATTCTCCCAGCTCCTTGGCTTTCTGAATACCTGAATGCGAGTGTGTGACAGAAAGTGCTCAAGCTAGTGTGCAAGAGCAAGTCAGTGTCAGCTGTGTGTGCCTGGGCATGCATATATAAGCGTATGTGTGTGTGCATGTGTAGGTGTGCTTGCGTATGGGCAGATGCGTTTGTTTGTGTGTGTTGTTATTCTGGGCATGAAAAGGAGGACGGCTAAAGACGGAGGGAAAGAAAGGATGTAGGGGGAGGAGGGAACGGGGTAGAAAGATGTTCTCCGCTGTGTGTGCTTGTGCATTTGGTGCATTCAGTGTCTTCATGATGAATACATGTGTTTGTGGGCTTCCTGAACGTGGGAGTATGGGGGCTTAGTAGTGTCAGAGGAGTAATCCACTGGGGGAAGGGCTCCGTGCTTTCCTCCTCCACCACTAAGCCTTATGGAGAAGAACAGCAAGAGAGTGCACTCAACCCTTTCCCCGGGCCACTTCTCCAGGGATATATGCAAAAGCTAGAGCTTTTTCGCACACATCACCCGCCCCACCTCCTTTTTTGCCTTTCCCATCTGTTCAGTGTGTCACATCCCTGCGTTGCCATCATTACTGCTATTAGCAACTCTAATGTGTCACTGTTGCCGAGGTTTATCACCTCTCTCTTATAAAACGTCTCCTCTGCTGTTTGTAATGCTGTCACCTGGATCTTTCATTTTGGTCAAATCAAAGCACACCATTTATTCCCACACGGAGACTAAATAAAGCCATGAAACAGCTTGTAGGGCCTTAAATAAAGCTGGGTTGATATTAACAGTCAATTGAAATAAAAATAAAGGATTTTCTTTGACTTGTGTAATTATAAAGAGGTTAAAAAAGGCAATGATAAATGTCAAATGGCCACTTGAACAAATCATTCTCATAATAAAATGCCCAGCTTTTGAGCAGAAATAAATATGTTTACATCGTGGTGCAAAAAATGCTTTTAGTCTGTATGGCTAATTTACCCACTTTATAACAACAGGAGAAGACGTGATTCTTTTTAATTAGTAGTAATTTTTAATATTAGTGGCCACTTTGAGCGACAGGTAGCTGATGATACAGGTGGCTGTGTTGCTAGCTAGCTTCACCGCTACTGTTTATGTTAATGCATTTTGGCCTATTTTAATGCAATAATATCAGACAAATAGCATGGCTCACTGTGTGGTTAACAGTTCTAAGAAGTCCATGTTCCATCTTTGGTGAGGTAAATACTGGGATTTTTATCAGTATGTTAGTAAGAACTGATTAACTGGTATCTGTGCCATATAGGCTCTGTTGACATTTTGCTAACCAAACATGCTAATGTTAGCTGATAACGCTCTCCGATAGCTGATGATTGCTAA